CTGGTGAGATCGACCAACGAATCTCTTCTTCATGCACTTTCATACGAAATGAAGGTCCCTCTAACAAAAGGCATATAGGCCAAGATTGCGTGCATGTCACTAGTGTCGGTCTTCTTTCGTAATATACAAGAGATTTGACCTCTTTTTAACAACTTGCTCATATTGTCAGTGAGATCCATATAGCAGACCTTGCCTGGAGTCCCTTGAAATAGTGACCATAATCGTTTTAAGGTTCGGTTCGCGGACCTGGTTTATCCAAGACATTTTGCTGGCAACTTCATTGAGCCTTTCGATCATTAACATCTAAATACAATCGTCAGAGACAATTATTGACCAACTATCTGCCGAACATCTGTAGTACTACTGTCTTGGTGCATTCACTCATCCAAAATCTTCTTATCGCTCCATTCACTATGACAGATTATCTCTTGCTTATTTTTATCTACATCAAAAATAAGTCCTTTTGAGTAGATTTCGTAAAGCATATTTATGCTCCTACTTGGTTCACTTATCGTGTCCATTGTTATGGAAATATTGATCGCACTTAGCTATTTAAGTCTTAAATTTGTCCATCAATAATAATGTTCAATGATGTATCGATATTGGCATACCATTAATTTCCTTTGAGCGGGCAGGTGGAAAGATTATTAGATTAGCCCCACTGGATACCAAAAGAGGGAGATGCCTTGGACTTTTGTTTATTGAATTGTGAGCAGATCTCGGCTAACAGTCTTGGAAACCCGATGACTCCAGATTGAGTTTTAGTCCGTCATGTGACGGACATCGTCGGCAAGAACCCATTAGTTACGAACAATCACCAAAAAACATTAAAGCAAGAAAAGTGGCCGGCTAAGATTCTATTTGCTTCTCATGTTGCGATTTTACTGAGGAATTACATGATTTGGTTGGCTACTTTGTTCTGTTCTACGTGCAAGTAAGCTAATGAAGTTGATGCAGAAAGGAGCAGATATGGTCACATTTCCTTATCTAAATAAACTAGTGTATGATCCTGCAGTTTTGGGATTGTTTTAGCCTCGTGATGCGTGTGCATTATGTGGTAGGTAATATTTTATCTGAAACAAGACTAGAGCTTAGTCAAATCTTCTCTTACTCGACGGCTCTTCCAGTGATCTTTCTTTCTTTTTTCCTTTATATATACACATATATATATCCACAACCTCCGATTTCCGATTCCCTAAACCTTTGCAGGCGGTTTTGTGTTCTAATGGTCTCTTATGTATGGGTCGATGTAAACACAATCATATGCTCACAAAACCCTACAGCAACCTGATCTGAAGAGGGGGTTCGAAGATTTTCTATAAGAAGGCATGACCGATGAAACCGTTAGTATTTCTTCATACATGATCCTGACGTTCCATCTCAGTAATTCGCCTATCTTACTTGAAAGCTGGCAGGATGGTGGCATTAGGAACCTAGACGAAGAGTTGTCTAATTTCTTAATTTGTCCCAAATAAAGGTTAACTTTCACCCTATTTCTTAGTATCCTGAAATTGTTAACAATTAATCCTAACGGATAATTGTCCTTCTGACTCATGATCGTGGTAATTTACATCCGCTAGACATATACTCCTTATTGTATTGTTTCTGCCAACTAGGGATATGTGGGTTAATAATATCATTAAGAAGTTGAGACAACATTAATAAATAGTTTTAAGGGCAGAAAAAGGGGGAACAGCTATAGTCATGAATAGTGCAGTTTATATAAGAAAGATGTTGTAAGGTTTAGCTGATTTTGATACGTATAAAAATATAACTAAGGACCTAAATGACCATTAAATTCTAGACTTGCCTAAAACAATGTGTTAATAATGGTAAATTGGAGAAGCGGAAAATGAATGCACTTCTCTAACGCGATTCTAGGCTTAACGCATATGGCCTGTCCAAAATTCATAGTGGATCATTGCAAATAATAAGGGGGGTGTGATGCATAAAACGTCACGATCCGCTTGTGGCCAATAAAAAATTAAATTATTGACATTATGGCTGTATTAAGTTAATAGATAAGCAAAAAATAGAAGATTTGCTTGTAACTTTTGATGTAGTATCGATGTGCACGAATATGCCGGTAATTGGAGCCATATAGGCCTTAATATTAACATTAGATCTACATCCAGAAATTATATCAGGAAATAAGATAAGCATGGAGTCAATCATGAGATCAACAAACATAGTAATTAATTGTATATATTTTACCTTTAATGGTAAATTATGTGAGCAAAACGGAGGTGTAGCTATGGGATCGTGTTTGTCTCTAGTTTTAGCTAATAACTAGATAACTCGATTTGGAATCAGGCTTTTTCATGTCAATCTTATTTCCGAAACTATTGGTCAGAGATATGGATGATTCCTTTGCTATCTGGCAACATGGCAGAGGATACGGATTTCTTTATTAATTTATCCTTGAATCATACTCATGATAATAAGACAACAAAGTACATCCTGAATAAGAGGAACAAGTGTAGGAAACTAGACAATAACTATTTCTGGTTGCTGGGTACAATTAGATAGAGATGGAGAGCGAACATGAGGGACCACCGAGTAAGAGAAGACTTAACTAAGCTGAAATCTGGTTTCGTACCTAAATTTGCCTGCCAATTCGTGAATGTTGTATACACAGAATACACATATCTACTAAGCTAAACATAAGGAAAAGTTGTGACCATATCAGCTCCTCTTTCTGTATCAACTTTACTCGCCTAATTACATGAAGAACAATTATAAAATATATGAGATGTGTTCACCCTACTTCGTTTAAGGTGATAAAGGACTGATAGTTGAATTTTACCACTATGATATGAGTATATCTGGCGTTTTGATTGAATTTCATAGCCTTGCTCTCCCAAAAGTTGTTATCATCCAGGGTGGACTGCAGTTGTGGGAAAATTCTAATACCAGTCCTTTATCACCTTAAACGAAATATGGTGAATACATTTCATATTAATAATTAACTGGTAGTCTCGAAACTCTACTTACATACGAAAAATAAGTGACGTAGTCGATTGCCAAAGCAAAAATACGTTTGCTTCATCGACAATCTCACCAAAGAATGTGAAATGCAAAAACGCCTGGCCTTCCTTGAAGTCCACATTTTCCCCGTGACCCAAGGGCATTCGTGGCAATGTGTCTGAGTGGTTACCATGTCAAGCTCACATTCTGCACTGTCACGGTACGAGTCTCGCTGGAAGAGTTGATAAGACCTATGCGAGGTCGAAACTGCAGTCCACCCTAGTCGAGAACAACTTTTGGGAAAGAAAGTTTATATGAAATTTAATGGAAACGTCAGCTCTACTCATATAATTGTGGGATAATTCTACTACCAGTCCTTCATCACCTTAAACGAGATAGGGTGAGTACATCTCATATAAAATATATATCAAAGAATGAGAGCAGATAAATATATAAGTTAGTTCAACTCATATCTGCAATTATCGGTGATTAGTTTATTAGGGTTAAGAATATACCTTACTTTAATTTTTCCGTTGGACGCATCTATTTGAGCATTCATTTGTGTGTTTTCAATCGAAGGTGTGGCCGGTTCCGAACGATCAATTCGACCACCGACAGCAGGGCCTTCGTCTTTGCCATATATAGTCTGATGAAGACCGGTGCAAGATTGAATTTGTTGTTGCTGTTGTCGGTGATGATAACGCAGAGAATTGAGCTCCCGTCGAGCTTGCTCTAATAATTCAGTTTTCTCAGACAACGAAACACGGAGTTGTGAAAGTTCAGCAAGGGAGACAGTAGTCATGACCTCAGAGGGGCCATCGCTGCCTGGGCTGGTCTGATAGTGAAATGCAGCACGGGTATGGCAATAATTAGTGAGGATTTGGAATAATGAAACCTTTAGGCGAAATTAGTATAAAAGAAGATATTCGGAGTCAAATTTATTGAGAATTTCTAATAGAAATCCAATTTGCTGATGGCACAAATTAAC